ACCCTAATCCAATTCCCAAATGAGAGTAAATACAACAGAGTTACTGCAATATGTACAATATGTATGTATTTCCGCCCGGAACTGCTTCCCTTTACAACAGTGAGCGCAAGCTACATTAAAGTGATTATTACGTTTTGAATATGGATATTTTTCTTACAAAAACGCATTGATTCGCTACAGAAGGCCTTTGTTCACCCTCTGGAGCCATGTGAGACACTTTTTTTTTATGGATGGGCGCTTTTTATTTAACTTCTTTTGGACTGATGCATGCAACACCCGCTGAGTGCCATGAAACCGCATGAAAGATCAAAGACAATTTTTAATATAACTCCGACTGGATTCGTCTGATTCATCATTTTTGGGTGAACTAACCCTTTAACCCTCTATTTAAAGAAAATTATATTCCAAGTGCACCACACATTGTTATCAACTTGATGTAAATGTTAAACAAATCACTTAAGTATCTTAGCAGAAAAGATGCATGAACTACAACTACATCTTGTAAAAGCTTGTCTTATACATATTATATGTTCAGATATAATATGAGGAAAATGCTTAAAAAAAATCTCAAGTCAAGTTAATTCAAATTCAAAATGACTGAAGGTATAACACCAGTACTATTATTAACTATAAATGTTCTATAAAAACAACAGCATGTCAGCCTGTCACCATGATGCAAACATGAAATATCAGACCTACAGTAGAAGTTACAGGTTTTTTTATTCGCTTGCGCTGCTTTTCAATTGTTTTTCTGTGTAAACATGGACACGTTTGACTGTTGCACTTGCATTTCTTGCAGCGTCTCATGCAATAAACGGCATTATAAAAATGCGGCACTCAAGTTAAAAGAAGTTCACGCCCATCTTCTTGTATGTTTTTCCTATTCCACTGCCTTCGTCACATCTTTGTCAACAGAAAAGCGCATTCTGTATGAATGGCACCTAGCGATATGAGCGCGTCACACGTGAGCGGTTAATCACGTGCGCCGACATGTGGTTGGATCGTTGCTTTCTCTTTACTGTTATCATTAGCATATTGTAAAAGTGTCAGCCCTATCGAGAGTACCTCTACACATAAACAACTTATGCGCGTGATGCTGTTAATGTAAAACACGCATGTGCTGAGCCTTGTTTATGTGCAGAGGAAAGCAATGCGCATGCATTATGGAACTTTTTTTTTTTTTTTTTGGTGAACAAAGTATTCTCGTAGCGTTGCAAAATTACGGTTGAACCACTGATGTCACATGGACTATTTTATCAATATTCTTACTATGTTTCTGGGCCTGGGAACATTTCTGTTTCATTGCTGCCTATGCAGGGTCAGAGAGCTCTCGGATTTCATCAAAAATATCTAAATTTGCATTCTAAAGATGAACGAAGGTCTTACAGGTTTGGAATGACAAGAGGGTGAGTAATTAATGACAGAATTTTCATTTTGGGGTGAACTGTCCCTTTAACAGCCTGTACAACTTGAATTGTCAGTCATGTCTATAGCACAAATGGTGCAGGACACAAAGTGAGCTTTGGGTTAGCAGTTTAAATAGCTAAGTATGCATAGGTCATAGATATAGACAAAATAAATGCATTTCCGTATTTAACATGAGGATGCCATTTCTATTAGCAGATAATCTCAGAATACAATTGAGGTTAACTGCAGATTGCACCAGTTTCAGTATGTGCCAGAAACCTGAAATGACCCAGCATGCGGTACAGGTATTTGAACACTCCATACCTAGTCTTATAAGCATAGAAGCATGGGCATTTCAGCACACAAGAGCCTAATGGCCCATTCCTGTAATGTGATCTCTAGAGGCCATTGTGCAATATGAAAAGCCACAGTTTTATTCAGCACAGGTAAGAGTTAAGTTAATGTGCTGCCCACATCTCAAAACCAGTCACTAGAGGTGGGCGGTATGAGTATAAAACAGGTCGATTACTAGTATATAAAGTTATTTTTGCTGGATATCCATATCAAAAATGTTTTTTTTTGTGGTAAAATATGTTGTTTAAAGGGATAGTCTACCAAAAACTGAAAATTCTGTCATCATTTATTCACCCTAATGTCATTCCAATCTTGTATGACTTAAATTCTTCTGCAGAACATAAAAGAAAATATATTGAAGAATGTCGGTAATCAAATGGCCTCAGTTCCCATTTACTTCCATTATGTGGATAGAAAATAAAATGGAGGTCAGTGGGAACTGATACTGTTTGGTTGCCAACATTCTTTAAAATATCTTTTTTATGTTCCGCAGAAGATTATACAGTTGAGTAAATGATAGAATTTTCATTTTTAGATCTATCCCTTTAAGTTAGTCATACGTTTATGCAGCATCACACTTTCTATGTCGCAATGTAAATGTCTAAAGAGTCTGTTTTCAAAGCAAAGGAAGAAACACTAGATTATGGCCAGTGCTCAGTAGGGTTGTTTGGTGTCAACACAGCAGTTTGCAGTCTCAGGTTAACATTCCACATCTGCTGACATTGTTGCCGCAGGTCTAGCTAAAATACAGAGCCATTGGGTTTGCTCAGCTGTGCGACGGGAAGCACAACGCAACCGTCATTCTCCTCTTCAGGTCCTGCAGGGGGACTAGTTGTTTGTTCCTGTTCCCAGATCTGTGTTCTGGCCAGCCGGTTGTATTCTTGCGTATCTCCTCGCTCCCACAAAAGTGCCTCTGTGTGCTTTTGATGTCATGATATTCTTGTCAGAAGGAAAATTGCAGCTCTATTTTGGTTGCCTGAACTTCCTCTTTCATTGCAAATGCATGGGAGGATGGAGCACAGGATATAAACACGAGCTGTTTGGATACAGCCGTGTGCTGGAGCTCTCTGATGAGATCAGTGTGTCCGGATTATTCAGCCGAGCTCTGATGAGTAGAAATGAGGAACTGAGAGGGTGTGAGATATATATTTGCCTGTCACAGCAGCTTCTTCCTTTCTAAGAACCGCAGTAATGAGAGTAGCTGACCAGTTTCTTGAAAAAAAAAAAAAATGCAGAAACTATTTTTTTTTCAAGAGGTTTGGTTGTGTTATTGGTTTGTAAACTGAATTTTTCTGTGCTGAATACGGTATTAATATATTCTGACAGCGTTTTCTGCATTGCTGAATCTGTGGCGGCAAAAGAAATGACGCTTTAGCTGAGTTGTAGTCTGAATTCATTGTTATGAGGAGAAAAACAGGCACTGCAAAATAGCTAATTCGTTGAAAAAAATTAAATAAACAACTCCTTTTCAAATGTTATGATGTGTTATGAATAGGGATGCAAGATATATCGGCCACCATATCGGTATCGGCCGATAAATGCTCATTTTTTCTGTTATCGGTATCGGCCTGATAAGAAAATTTGGCCGATATCTTAAAGCCGATAAATAATGCATTATTTCCTTCAGAGACACTTCAGATGCGTGCTGTTCGTTTGCAGCCTTTTGTGCAATTGTACGTTGTAATATTGTGTTTATTTGATGTATTTTACTCACCGACGCTGCATTTATTTGTTTAAAAATGCATTCAAAACAGTAAATATTATTACAGTTACTATCTCTATTATCCTATTATACTATCTCCAGTCTTCAGTGTCACATGAATCTTCAGAAATCATTCTAATATGCTGATTTGCTGCTCAAGAAACCTTTCTTGTTATTGTCAGTGTCAGACAGTTGTGAAGTTATGATTTTAAGGAAACTGATAAATTAATACATTATTTTTATTAATAGAAAGTACAAAAGAACAGCATTTATTTGAAATACAAGACTTTTGTAACATAACTAAAGAATAATTAAATAGAATTAGACTCCGAGTATAGGGCTGCCACTAACGACTGTTTTTATTTCGATTAATCTATCGACTAATTTATCGATTAATCTAAACGATTAATTTCCAGCAAAATAAAAATCAACAATTTTACTTAAGAATATTTTATTAAACTATATTTCATTAAACCAAATGAAATCCAAAAGTAAAGTGCAACATAAATGCAAGAAGCAAGTGTCCATCTCATAGTCCAAATCACTGAAATCAAAGTTCAGTATTATAGTGTAAGAATGACAACATATCCACGTATTCTAGTCTACTTCTAATAAAATTATAATCAAAAAACACGTTTTAAAGGAGTATTTACCAGAAATATTATTTACCAGAATTTATTTAGGAGAAAAATTTAAATGTGCAGTATTTCTGAAAAAAAAAAAAAAAACTTAATAAAATCAATTAATTGGAGATGCTTTTGATTATTCAAATTTTATGGAACCATTAAAATAGAATCCAGAAAATAATGGAAAACAGAATTAGGTAAAGATAAAACTGTAAAACTCAATTAATTAGACAGGCACGCGCGCACACACACACAAATATCCTTACTCAACCAAATCAACATTTAATGTGCAAAAGAGAGAAAATGTCTAGACACTTCCCTATTAGGTATTAATTGCACAGGTTTCATTGACATGAAATGCTCTTTTAAAAAGTAAGTAGTGTATTTTTCGTTTTATTCAATTAGTCTAAAACACTTTGCTGACTTAACATTTGCAAAGTACAGAGGCAGTGATTTTCTCATATCAGTGAGAGTTTTAAATGTGTCCATAAATAGACATCATTATGTAACTAAAAGGCTTGAGCTGTTACTGTAAATAAGATGATGTGATTTTTACAGTACAGCAATTCTCTTGAGACCCCAGTCACATTAAGATGTCATGTAGGTTTCTGAAGGACCAAAATGAGCTCTAGTAGAGATACCTTAATACCTTAATACCTTCATTGAATAAGAAACTTTTCTCAAATCCAAAAGATTGTGTCACTAAAGGGAATTGGGTATTATCATAATGCAAAAACTTTTAATGCTCCTGCTGTTGATGCAGCGTTTAGTGATGCATCAAGTCCTCTTTCATGATTTGCAGGGCAAAACCTTCCTGGTATCGGATCAGTGCCTACAGCACGCCTTCAGCCTGCACCAGAACATGTGTGCCAGCTTGCTGCGGGCATATCAGGGCCTGTTCTGCTATTTAACCTCCCTGACCAAGAATCTTCCCGCATCCCAGCGCATAGAGCTAGGTATGTAGTCCGTCAGAGCTGAGAGAATAAGTCTTGTTTCCAACCTGAGTTGGAAGACTGAAATTATTTATTTTTAAAACATTTTTACACTGCACTTCAATCTTTGACCCTGTATAAAGCTTTTTTTGTAGCTGGCTGTCATGATGTTTTGCTTTAATTTGCTTAACAGGGTGTCATTTGAACAAAACTTTGATTACTAAAGCCAGTTTAATCGCTGAGTTTCAGTATGTGTATGTGTTCTAGGGGTGAGCAATATACACTACTGTCCAAAAATTTGCGGACTGTACATTTTTTATGTATTGTTAATCAGAAAGGATTTAATAAATTAATCATAAAAGTGACCAAAAAAATAATCTGTTTTAAATATTTTATAGTTCTCATATAAATCAAACAATGTATCATGGTTTCCACAAAAATATTAAGCAGCACAAATGTTTTCAACATTGATTAAAAAAAAGGGGAAAAAAGGTTTCTTGAGCACTAAATAAGCATATTAGAATGATTTCTGAAGAATCATATAACTCCAAAGACTGAAGTAATTATTACTGAAAATAATTTGCCGTCACAGGATCAAATTATATTTGAAAATATATTAAAATTTTACATTTCACAATATTATTACTTAATTTTGAGCAAAAGAGAAAAAAATCCAAAACATTTAAAAATTTTTTTAAAAAATCCCTCCAACCCAAACTTTTGAACAGAAGACCATAAGAAATTAGTGTGGTAGAAATTTTAATTTAGGGAGAATATTTAGAAGAACTTGTTAGGGGAAAAAATACTATATATATATATATCATTTTCTCCACTGAACATTTGGAAGTACATTTAGAGACGCTGGTTGAAACTCCTGGGGCTAAAAGTCAGAATTGTACATTTTCAGTGCTCCATAATATTTGTATATATATATATATATTCTTTTAATTGTAAGTGATTATATTTATTACATTTAAACTTTTATATATTAATGTTTATTTTATATAAGTTTTATAAAATATTATTTTTTGCTTATTGCCTTCTATATCTATATCTATCTGTATATCTGTTTTGTTGTATATGCTTTGGATCATTTGCTTTCACATATTAATATATATGTTTTAATCTCATCAGAGCCCATCAGATCACTAAATACTCACTCACACTAATGTAACCATTCACTTGAAAATCTATTTAGAGACTCTTGAAGAGCTGCTGTTCTGGACATTTACGTGTTAATGTTTGTTTAACTGCATATTGTATGCCTCTGCCCTCTCTTATGTATGAGTCAGCATGCGGATGCTTTAATCTCCCATTTTTGTGTGTTTGGACCTCAGAACTAGTCTATAATACGTCTTTCCCTCCAGAACATTCACTGTAAGCCCTCACTCACTCAAAGCTAAACTACTCACCCCTTGCTGCTTCTGACATTGACTGAACTTGCATGTATTTAAGGGTTCATTTTAAGCTCAAACAGCAAAAGGGGAGAGTGAAAGTTTTAAACGTGCCTATATGTGCAATCCCACCACTAGCCAAGCCCAGCATGCAGGTCCTTTATGAACGAGTTCTCAGAAGACCTTACCCTCCAGGCCAAAGGCACGTCTACATAGGTATGTCCCTCCAAAGCCGACCCTCAAAATCGCTCCACATGCCTCTTGCCTTTCATTCGTGTCTTCTTTTAGCTTTCTTTCTTCCGTTCCCTCTAACTTGGATGTTTGTCACTTGTTTGGCAAGTGTCCTTCAGTGAGGGAGCTTTTAGCTCAACTTAGTCATCCTTTCCTTTAGTAGTATCTCAGATCTCAGGCTGACTTGGGATCAGTCTTATTTCTTGAACGTTGCTGGTATTCTCTGTACTTTGACTCCTACTTCCTGTGCTGTTGATCCTCTAGATCACTCTCATGTGCTGTCAATCACAGGCTCTTCAGACAGACCCTTGTCTCTCATTCACTCCATACTGCTGCTGTAGGACCAACATTTTTACTCTTCTTTTTTTCCTTTTTTTTTTTAGAGGAACTTGATGTGGAGGCCCGACTTAATGAGCTTTGTGAACAAGTCAAGGTATGTCAAGGGAAGTTATTACCATTTAATACAAAAAATACAGAGCAGGATGTGTCCCAAACAAGTCAATCTCTTTATTAAACTTTATAGAATGTTATAGAACTTTATTGAAGGGTCTTGTTACCACCTGGCAACATTTGTAAAGCAGAATTTGGTTATTTTATAGTTTATGAGCAGTGTTGCTCATTTATAAGTTATAGGCCAAAAGTTTGGAATGTGAATCAACAAATCAGTATGTAAAATAAAATGAATATGAATAATGATGTGTTTTGGTTTGCATCCATCAATTTTCAATGTTTCAATTATACAAACATAGGCATTACAACTTGGTAATTTAATGTATAAATCATTTTTGTTGAAGCAAAAATAAATACATTGTGAGATATACCATTATTATAATATAACATAATCCATAAGTTAAGGTCATGACTCTCACCGCTGTGGTTGTTGCTTGGCTGGTATATCATGATGGTGTACTACACTCTTTTATATTTATGGTTGTGTGTATGTATCTTGTAGCAGAGGGCAGAGAGCCCAGATGAGTTGGCTGAACTGGTGAACATGAATTTGGCACAGCTGTGCTCTCTGCTCATGGCATTGTGGGGGAATTTCCTGGAAGTGGTGTCCCTAAATGAGCGGGTCTCTGCGCTGTTGGCCCAGGAGCACCATACACTACGGGTGAGTTGTGAGATTTTTATCATATGCATATTCTAATTGCGTACTTTCATTGTGTTATGCATTGCATTCTGACACATCTTGTAACACAAAGATGCAAGAAATTGATGTTGCATATTTAGGAGTGTTTGTGCACAGTATATTTCTGGCTTTACTTATGTTGTATTTACAATTTTAGGTGCAAAGATTTGCAGAAGCTTTCTTTTGTCTTGAACACCCAAGACAGAGTGCACTGGCTTACCAGGAACTGCAGTACGGCTTCGAATATCATTACTGTAATGTAGTTATTTAGCACACAGAGAAGATGTGAATTATCATGATAATTCAAATTAACTACTTTATTCAACAGTGCTCACAGTCACCAACAGATGACCACAGCTATCAAGAACTCCTCCTACTTCTTGTCCTTGCCACCTCTTCCTGTTGAATGTGCTGATCTTGATGGGGATGTGAACTCCCTACCAATCATATTTGAGGACAGATATTTGGAATCAGTTACTGAAGGTATGTGTAACGGCACTTCTGGATCAATAACATTATAATCTTTGATTATCCTTTTAACCATCAGCTCATATATATATTAGGGATGGGAAGATTCCCCGATTTGCTCGGTGCATCAGCATAAAAAGTTAACGATGCGGTGCATCGGTTTAAAAAGTGTGCATCGGCTACAAGTTGTCATTTATATCACGATGCATCGTTTCTAACATAGTTGCATCGGTAAAAAACGATTTATTTATATATAATTACTTGTGGGTGCGCTATACTTTTATTGTTTAGAAAGTGATCAATATTTTATAAGTAGATTGATATCTCCTCTCTAAACTGTTTCTCAAGCACGCTCTCTCATCACCGCTGCTGCTGCGTGAATAAGACGCATCATCACAACACCACGGAGACTCGAGGAAAAACTGGGATTAAAGTCCAAAACATGACTTGAAATAACCTAACAAATCAATAGGGGCTAAAGCGGTTCCATTAACGACTAATTAAATTCACATTCCCTCACTAATTTGTGCACGCTTATTCTTAAGCAGACCTTAATGTCGATCATGTATCAAATCGATCCTCTATGACAAACGGCGAATATATCTGTGCTGTTTAATGCATTTGAGATGTTGTGTTTTCCTCGGTGCATAACTGACTTGTCACAGGTATATTTTTCATCTGTAAATGTTAGAAATCATGCAAACATATCCATTTTGCTGTCAGGAGTGGGCGAGGCTGACGCACTGTTGTATCGAGTCATGAGATGCACATCCCTAATAATATATTTTATAAAACTATTTGATTTTGAAAGTGTTCAAGATTTGTGCAAGCTTTAAAGTATGCTTTTGCTGGACAAAAAAAAAAACTAAATCAGGGGTGTTTGATCCTACTTCTACAGGACCACCTTCATAGATAGTTTAACTCCAACCTATCTGGTTCAGTTATGTGTTTTATAAGGGTTAGAGCCTAACTAACTTTGGCCCTCCTGGAGCACCAAGGACTGGACACACCTGAACCAAATGTAGTGAAAAGGGACAAGACCTTTGAAATGTCAGATTTTGTGCTAGTTCATGCTGTCTTTAAGATAAACTTGGTGTGGCATAGTGGTTTGGTTATAAAAAGCTTAAAGGTTCAGACCCTTCATAAGGCAATTCACAATTATTTCCTTAAAGGGCAAGTTCACCCAAAAATGAAATTTCTGTCATTACCCAATCTCTTGTTGTTCCAAACCTGTACACAAATTAAGATATTTTTGATGAATTCCGAGAGCTTTCTGTCCCTCCCATCGACGGCATGGCTCTTAACACGTTCAAGGTTCAGAAACGTAGTAAGTGCGCAAAGAAAACAAAAAAAACAACTTTATTCAACAATTCGTCTACGCCACGTCTCTCTGGCGCCATTTTGGAGAGTATCACATACGTAAACAACGTATGTACGTGGATACGTTGTTTATGGTTTGATCTGAGCAAATTGTTGAATAAAGTCGTTATTTTTGTTCCCTTTCGATACTTCACTCGTACTGCGTCTTGCTAGACGCATATAGGGAAAAAGCCTTTTTTCTCCTGAACTGAAGCCTATTCATTCACGCAGTGAAACTGCACGGCCATTGGTTCGTGCAGAGCTTAAAAAACGAACCAATGGCTCAGCAGTGGCAGCTTACAAAAAGTATTCCCGTAGCTTTGTAAAATTACGACTGAACCACTGATGTCACATGGATTATTTTAACGATGTCCTTACTACGTTTCTGGACCTTGCTCGTGTTAGGATCCTTGCTGTCTATGGGAGGGTCAAAGAGCTCTCAGAATTCATCAAAAATATCTTAATTTGTGTTCCAAAGATGAACAAAGATCTTACAGGTTTGGAACGACATGAGGGTGAGTAATAAATTCATTTTTGGGTGAACTATCCTGTTAATGTTAGTTTGCACAATGGAAACAGTCCCTGTAGTTAAGTGACTATTCACTTAGGATAAATAGTCTGCTAAACTACTACTTACCATATTTCTTCTACCCTGAAGATCGAGATGGTCCATGGCTTGGTCTTCACAACACCAGGAGCAGCTCTGTGTCCACTAAAGCAGACAGGTCCAACTCAAAGGACTGCCTTGCTAGTGGATTGGGAGGCCTTGGCCCGTACCCAGATAAGCAGCAAGCTGCCCTTGCCATGGCTTGGCCTGAACAGAATGAGCCTCCCCTCAAATCCAAAGCCAAATCTATCAAGCTAAAGAAGAATGCCAAGACTGAAAATTCAAAGAAGCTGATCAGGCAGATCTCGAAAGACTCCGTGGTCCTCACAGGCTACAAGAACTTGAAGGTTCCTCATGGTGAACCGACCACCAAGTCCAAAGAAGTTGACACTCAGTGCAATCCGAAAGACGAGCTAGATGATGTAGGCAAATATATCCACCAGAATGAAACTGCAACCACGCATTGTGCTCAGAATACTAAACACTGCACCACAAGTGACATTCAAGGCGATGTTGGCATCCAGAGCGACAGCTTTTCCAATCTTTTGAGTTTGCAAATGCAGGCTAGGCCCCAGGCAGGTACTGGAGCAGAAGCCGCACAAAGCGCAGCTGCCAGAATTGATTTAACACATCCACCCGCTGGGCTCAGACATATTGATGTCAAACCGAGCGACAAGGACCCCTACCAGGGCGATAAGGTCACCATTCTCTTACCGCACCACTCAGATCCAGCCACCAAGAGGGATGTTCCAGAGATCACACAGACCGATTTCTCTGAGTTCAAGAGTCGAGTTGGGGACTGTGCCACGTTCGTTGGAGCTTGTGGAGCCGCGTTAAGAAGTGATTGTGTTCCTCAAGCTTCCTCCAGGCTCTCAGACTCAGGAATCGAGAGTGAGCCCAGTTCTGCAACACAGTTAGCATCGGTTTCTCCATCTCCTTTTGCGAATACTAGCCTGGAGGCACCTACAGAGCCCATTCTACAGATTGCCCACCAGAGACCATCTCTGCTCAGCCCTGCTTCCAAAGGAGCCACCACGTTAGAGGGTCTCAATCCAGAGAGCACCAGCAACATCAGCGGAGTCCAGTCTTCCCTCGCCTCCATAAATTCGCTCCCCTCCGATGATGAGGTGGAGACGGAAGTCACTAGCAGAAAGTCCAGCATCCTTGTGCAGGAACAGAGCCTCATATTTTCAGGAGAAACTCATAGCCTCCCGTTATCAAGCTCTAGAGTTTTGGCTCAACAAAAAGCCTCTATCAGTCATGGAGATAGGCTGCTGTCTTACAATGAGGACTCTGCTATCCAGCCCCGCTGTGAAACTAATGCTCCTGACAGGCCGACAGGATCTAGTGAGACCGACGTTCCAAGTGGTGCACCTTCGGGGCCAGAAGCATGTAGTGAGCCTCAGACGGCTGCCCAGTCCAGTACATCGGTCACAAGCAGCACGGACCTGGTGAAGAAAGGCTTTGTAGAGAACTACTTTGGCTCCCGTTCCAGCACTGATGTATCTGAGATCAGCCCATTGGAGACTGCAGCTGTAACGCTGGGGATTCAGACTTGCCCCAATGCTAATGAAGAAGAGGACGAGGAGGAAGAGCAGGAACATGAGATGATTGAGAACGGTTATTACGAGGAGACAGATGGGCTGGTTTATGTTAATGGACTCCCAGGGGAGGAAGAAAGCTGTGAGGATGAGGGAGCAGAGGGAAGGACCCTTTTTTATGATCACCTGGGTTTGGAACAGCTCCAGGAAACATACATCCCCTCAGCCGGCCTGCAGACAGGGCCTTCTGGACCAGCACCAACCAGCAACGACCTGTGCTGGTACAAGAGCGCCCCCACTGCACAGATGACGGCGTGAGTTTTCTTTTTTTCCCCTTACCCTTTAGTTTTGGAGTTTGCCATGCACAAAAAATGTATAAATATATATATATGTGTGTATATGTATATTGCCAGAGGTCAAGGTTTTTTAAACTGAGGCAATTTTTCAGGTTTGTTTGATGAATAGAAGTTCAAAAGAACTGCTTATTGTAAATAGAAATGTTTAATATTGACATTATAAATGTCTTTAATGTCACTTTTGATTAATTTTATGCATCCCTGCTCAATAAAAGTATTAAATTCTTTCAAATTTTTTACTGGCCCCAAACCTTTTAAACACCAGTATGTTATTCCAAACAATAGTGTCTTTGCCTTCATAATCTTTTATTAAACTTTAATGACTTGCTTCACTTCTACAGCAACTTGCCTTTTTGACTGAAATCATCTAGGGCACACTAGGTATATTATATTAATATGTTAATGTGAATTTTAATGTTAACCAGCTAGCTATTTAGGCATTATTTTAGGCTACTTTCCTAGGTAATGCCATCTTTATATAATCTTTGCTAAATGTGTTGCTGTAATTTAATGCAAATTATTATAATAAATGTTACAACAAATAATGGCAAAAAACTGTAGAGTTCATGTTGCTGCAGATTGTAGATGCATGAACTAATACCTGACAGTAGGTTCCTTTTTTGTGTCACTGTTTGATTGTGTTTCAATCTTTAGGTTTGCCCAAGCAAAAGAGGACTTGAAGCAACTAAAGCTGCCAGGTTTCCTGTACAGCGAGGTGGCAGATCTGGCATCCACTGTGCCATATTTCAGCATGGATGAGGATGAAAACTGTGATGAGGGCATACATTTAATAGTTTGTGTACATGGTCTGGATGGTAAGCAGTCACAATCTTAATGTTGGTAAATCCTATATATAACTCTGAGTCTACATTTACAGATTCAGATAATTTTTTCTTAAAATAAAAATTATTTCTTTAGGTAACAGTGCGGATTTGCGTCTAGTGAAGACTTATTTGGAGCTCGGTTTGCCTGGAGCTCGTATAGATTTCCTAATGTCAGAACGCAATCAGGTAAACTGCACAACAGTCCCATGAACAAGCACTGGGTTTGGGCTGTTTCTAGAATTAATAAATTATGTATTATATAAATTAAAAATAATAATAAGTGCCTCTGAAAGGTATAAATATATGTAAAATCACTGATAAAAATTCAATAGGCTTGGAAGATAAATAATAATTAGAGATATATTTTGAAATATTAACCTTCTTTATTTTTGGTTGTTATTCAAGAATGACACATTTGCTGATTTTGAATCCATGACTGACAGACTTTTGGATGAAATAGTGCAGTACATACAAATCTACAACCTCACAGTTTCCAAGATAAGGTAAGATCTTTTCCTCAAACTCAAATATATTAGAAAGTAAAACTCAATAAAGCATCAAAGTATTTTTAGAGACATTTAACATTTTTAATGGCCCTGTCCGGTGTGACATTTCACAATGATTGATTTTGAGGGCTTTAGACACACTTTTGTCCAGTTATCTTACATATTTTTATTAAATAAATTAAATATTGTTGTGGTGTCAAAACACTAGACTAAAAAACAAACAAACAAAAACACACAAATTCACCACAGGGACACATTTGAAATACTGGGGCTCTTTTTGCCCTCAGCCTTGGTACATTTTTGACCCTGACTTTGGCCCAAAAGAATCCCTCACCCCTTCCCTCTCTTCCAAGACTATGAGGTCTGAACCAGTGTGCATCGTGGTACATTCTGGCCTCATAGGGGGTGCACATGAGCACCATTTTGCACCATAAAATGACAAACAATGTGAATTTAAAATTTATTTTACAGATGTGCAAATCTCTAATTGAATTTGTACTTGACCTGGTTGAAAATATGAGCTTGTCAAAACTAAAACGCACCTAGCCTTAGGATGACAGATTCACTATGTTGGTCTTTCTCAGTTTTGTGGGTCATTCTCTGGGAAATCTGATCGTGCGCTCGGTGCTGACGAGGCCCAGGTTTAAGTGTTATCTCAGCAGACTGCACACGTTTCTATCTCTGTCTGGACCACATCTTGGCACGCTGTACAACAGCTCAGCCCTCGTCAATACCGGTAAACCATCCTCATGAACTCAGCAGTTTTCTGAAGACAGTCATTTACGAGCCATTCATTTTTAAACGGTTTCTCTCGTTTTTCTCTGTGTCAGGGTTGTGGTTTATGCAGAAGTGGAAGAAATCTGGCTCTCTGCTGCAGCTGACCTGTCGCGACCACTCTGACCCACGCCAGACCTTCCTCTATAAGCTAAGCAAGAAAGCAGGTTAGCGTGACGTTATTTTGGTTCCACCAAGTTGATGTTAGTTTAGGTTTCTCCATATACCAACTCTCAAACTCCGTTTCAGGTCTTCAGTTCTTTAAGAACGTGGTGCTGGTGGGGTCTCTTCAGGACAGATATGTCCCCTATCACTCTGCTCGAATCGAGATGTGCAAAACAGCCTTAAAGGACAAACAGACTGGTGAGAATTAAAGGAGGAGTTTTCATCATTTATTTACCCTCATGTCATTCCAAACCCATATAACTTCTACTACCAAAAGTTTTAGGTCAATGAAATTCAAGTTAATACTTGGCAAGGATAAAGATCTTAGGTTTTAGGGTTGTTTTACTGCTTCTACCAACAAATTTCTCTCCTTTTGCTGGTTCTTTCCCTCTTTATCTTCTTGTGTGATCAGGTCCAGTGTATGCCGAGATGATCGAGAACCTTCTTCTCCCTGTGCTTCAGAACAAAGACTGCAACCTGGTGCGTTACGATGTCATCCATGCGTTGCCCAACACCGCCAACTCCCTGATTGGCCGGGCAGCCCACATCGCCGTCCTGGACTCTGAGATTTTCCTGGAAAAGTTCTTCCTGGTGGCAGGGCTCAAGTTTTTTCAGTAGGTTTGCTAGATCGGAAGCGAATACCTCACTGCAAACGGCCGTTTTTCTGGTTCTTTTTTCCTCACGGTTTTAAGTATGCTCTTGGAGGTAAAGCAAAATATATCAGTGTTCTTTTTGTTGTTGATTTTGTTTCTATTTAGTCTGTCGTGAATGTGGAACTTACCGTTTTTATTTTTCTACTGCCATTTTTTTAATGGTCTATTCATTATTAAGAAAATCAAACCGCCTTGTGGTATTTTTTTCAGTGTTATTTATGTAAAACTTTCCTTTTTACCATTTTCATTTAACAATTCATTCTATTAAACGATCTTATTCTGAACTGGAAATGTAGCTGCTAAAAAAGAATGAACTATTTATTCGGGGTTGAAATCCAGGTCGTTTTCATGGTAAAAGCATATTCAATTGAACATTTTGGCATCTAGGGTTGGCTTGCATCCGAACTGCATAAAACATATTTTCTATTAAGAAATTGCCATTTGACTACACGTTTTTTACAATTTTTTTTTTTTTACAACGTCAATGGCTTCCTGAACCTAGACGAACATGATTGTAGCTGAAACGAAGCAGCCTTGGACCGCGTGTTGGTTTTATACGATGTCTCTGGTGCCCATTGCATTCTCATGCACAATCTTCTCAACCCAGCCTGGAGTTGGGTGGAGAAAACGCACGCTTAGCATGTTAGTATTTTCTTTTTATTACAGGGGAGACAGGTAACAAATTAACAATGGGCCAGGTGTATGGGCTAGAGGGTTAGTCAGTTTAAAACAGCACAAATACTAGTAATCGGATCACATAGTTGTGGGAAAGTATTTATGTTCAGTTTCCTATGGAGGAATTTGTTGATGCTTGTGTGCAAAATACTTTAAATAAAACATTGGAATTATCCTGGTTTTGTTCAAATGGTTTTGTAACATGAACTCCACATTTCATTAAATGTATTCGCAAATAAATGTTTTTGTCCTCTTTTTTATTAATAGAAGCTTTGTTTTCATGAATTACTGTATTTATTTTAAATTAAAGGAATAGTTCCAAACCTGTGGAAGGCTATTTCCATAATGGTAGGTAATTACAATCTCACATTTGTAAATTTAGTTGTCCCATTTTGTAATTTTATGTCTTCCACTTGTGACTTGTGTGCTATCATGAGTATTTTGAAGTCATACAAAAGCATTGTGTAAGGCACATTAATACAGAGTAATATAATACTTATTATAAAACACACCACTTTTACTGTACTTTTATTGTATTTTTGGTCTTTCTATGAACTTGTATGAAAAAGAGTTGCATGTTGGGTCATTGACACATTTTCTTCTCTAGATGGCACTGGTTACTAGATCTCTGAATGAAAGACATGTTATGCTGGTAAACTTTTGATGCATTTCATATTATACTTAAGTGTTATTTTAGTATCATTGAGATACTATTATAGTTTTTATTAATATTTTGCATTCGTTTTTCATTTTTATATTTTCTATTTTTAATGTTTTTATTGAAATTTTAATGTATTGATTTTAGTTATAATTTTGTTCTTTTTTATTTGTTTTAGGGTTTTTGTCTATGTAATTTTTACTAAATATTAATTTAAATTTGCTAAATGAAAACGAGAAATGTTGCCTTGGCAACTAGCTGAAACAAGTTGATGTTTATTTAATTTTTCTTATTTCATTTCTAGATAACTAACTTAAAAACTCTGGTACTTGTTTTTTTTTTTTTTTGGAATTAAAAAGTTGGAATTTCATTGCTACTAAAAACATTATAGTGAATTATCAAATCCTATTGGTTTAGTCTAACACAATTTCTTTTTTATTGTGCATGGAATGATCCTGTATAATAGAAATATTTTCCCCCTCTATTTAGCTCCTAGTGTTTTGCTGCATGTTGCCTCTTGAAACCAGCTGATCTTTGGAATGTAGGGTCACCATGGAAACCTTAAAGACCTTAAAGAAAGCAGCCTGTTGAGCAGCACCACCCCCAGTTCTCCAGACTCCCTCTCCGAGTGCCGGACGGTGATGCGGGATGATGCCATGAGGTCTGGGTAGAGAAAAAGCCAGGGACGCTTCCAGTACACTTATACTAGTATCGTCCCCAGTTGTCAACTTTACAGCACACAGCTATTTTCCTGGAGACTCTTAAGAGGCTGAAATTGGCCAGACAGCGGACATCTTTTTGGCACAATGGAAGCAGAAGATAATCCCTAATGCCCTGTCATGGCCCCTAACCGACCCTTAATCACCCCACACAATCAGCACGGCTCATCATACACTCCTGTTTTTTCCAGTCACAGTCATTTAAATATTTTATTTGCCAAATCACGGTTTGATTTAACTATAATTGTTTGATTTGATAATTCTGCATTATGATCAGACATTTGAGTGGTTAATTGTGGGATGGCGGTGGTCTCCACTGGCCTGAATTAATGTAATCTCAGACAGGTTAATGCTGATCTTGATTAGTAATCTGATTATTATGGATTTAATCTGACCCAGGTCCAGAGACGTCATTGTTTTTGCCCAAAGAAGAAGAAACCCTGCAGAAGCGAAGAAAAAGGAATACAGAATAAATATGAGGGTGATCTCTAATTTCTGCATGCATGTATGTTGAACAACACACTGGCACACAGCTGGCAGCTGATTCATGAGCCTATACTGCAGCACACTCCTCGTATTTAACTAGAAAACTATTTCCACCAAAATAATGTAGTTACTTCTACCAAGGGTGCAGGTTTGATTTTGGCATTGGTGGGGACATAACAGCAGACAACAGACATTTCATTGTTTGATCAAAATGATTGCTAGGGTCAATTTAGTAGTCACTGGATATTGCCAGGAACATGTCATAGCGTCCCTACTCAATTCTATACGGCCTTGAAAATCAGAATTATTTGAATGTAACTATAAATATAAGTATATATAAGAAATTAAAACAAGTAATTTGTTTCGTGCTAGCTAAATTTCACATTTTCTAATCAAGAAAAATATATTGAAACTATCCAAACTTCTGTTAATCCTAAAGCAGTGAAAACTGCATCTCCATTTTATGTCCTCTTAAGGTGAAAAAAAACAAAATAACCAAATTTGGTTTTGTATCCACTAAACATAGTTTAACCAGGGTATTTATAGTAAAACTAAAAAATAAATAAAAACTTGGTTACTACACATTTACTATAGAAAACCATTTAACAAAAAAAGAAAAGAAATCAGTAAAAAAAAAA